CGGTTCCCAGTGAGCCTCCTGCTTCGCTGGTGGATGGGGGGGAGAGGGGGGACGGGACACTGGCTGCCCGCCCTGCCCTGCCCTGCCTCATCCCCTCACAGCTGCACTTCTCCATCAAAGTGCACATTCTGGAATCCCCCTCACAGGGCCCTGGTGATACAGCCTCCCGCTGTCCTCCCCCCACCAACTCCTGGCTTCTGATGAGAATGGGGCAGGAGGGAGCCACACCCCCCAGGAAATGTCCCAGTGCCAGGACTCTGGTGGGCCCAGGGCATGCTCTGGCCTGGATCAAGCCAGCCTCCCTTTAGCCCCTGCCCTTTTCTGCTCACAGCCCCATTGTCTCCCTCCAGGGGAAGCTGCCAAAGCAAGAGGCCTGGAGGGGGGGAAATGGATGGCCACCCCACCCCCCTCCTACCCCACCCTGGAGTTAGTGGGAGCCAGCAACAGGACTGCCCACGAAGGGTCAGGGGCCCCAGATAAAGACAAGATGGGAAGAGTGGCCAGGCCTAGCCTGGGGTTGGGGTGGCAGCTGGAAAACCTGGGTGTCAGGAGAGGCCTAAGTCTCCTTTGGGGCCAGCAGTGAAGCTGTCCTAGGCTGCAGCTTTACATAAGGAGGTAGAGGGGGGCTCAAGCAAGAGGGAATGTGGGGAGCATGAGAGACTGGGCTGTGCTGTTCTTAGCCGAACAAGGAGAGTGTTAGTTTCTTTCGTAGAAAATATAGAACAGGAAGAGGAAAGAAGAAAAGAAAAGGAAGATTGATTTGGCTCTTCTATGACAGTGAGCTATTTTCTACATGCACTGATTGAAGGTATATATAAAGATAGATCAGACATTGCAAAGATCTTCTGAGGGGAGGAGACCAGGAAGCAGAGGTAGGGAAGAGGGGCTGATGACCAAGGAATCAGACAGAGCCTCTCCCTTGTTTCACTCTTAGGACAGGGCCTGTCAGGGCCAAAGCATAGGCTGGAAGGCCTGGAAGTGGTGGGATGGACAAAGTGACCTCAAGAGAGCCTCGTTAATGTTTTGGAATCTAGGATTCTATGATTCACAGGATATGGTTACAGATAGAGAGAGAGACAGAGTTCAGAGAGCATGCATTGCTATATAGTGAGAAATGAAAAAAAAAATCAAAAGCAAGCATTATATTAGAGGGAGATAAAGAAGAAAGGAAGGCGGGAGAGAAATTTCTAGAACCTAGAGCAAGGTCCTAACTGATTCTAGGGCCTGGGTCATCTCCCTTCAGGACCTTCTTTTCTTGACTAGGACAGTCAAGTCACTCGGAGGTGTTGGAATCCTCTGCTCCCAGCCTGGCTGTGACAAGAATGTCAGAATGGTTGTGGCAGATCCTGTAATTCCCAGCGACCACTGGAGCTCTGGCCTGGTGAGCACCCCCTGGAAACAGGGAGACGCAGGCCAGCAAAGCAAGGCCTAGACATTGATCAATAGTCTGGATGTTCCCAGCTGACACGAGGCTGGGGAGATGGGGTGAAAAGTGGCAAGAACCTCAGGCCAACAACAGAACAAGATCCCATCCAGTCACGCAAACCTGGCTTTGGAGAGCAATGGTGGAGTGGGGTAGGGTGGAGTAGAGGGGAGACAAGAGTGCACGTAGAACGAAAGATCATTCCGGGAGCCTGGGCTCAGACTAAAGGAATGAAGTGTCAGAAATAGACAGAGGAGAGGGAGGGGGCTAAGGCAGGTGGGACGGGTAGGTTCTGAGACACATCTGAGAAAAGCATTCGCTGGCTACCTTATCACCCAGGCCCCTCACTCTTCACCCAGCTTCCCCCCACAGCTGTGGCCATGAAGGCCTCTGTGTTCTCCCACACCTGCCCTCCTCACCTCCTCCCCCACTCCCTGCTTTCCAGCTTCAGGGTCAGCTTGCAAGGGACTGGGCGCCCCTCTCCTGTTGGCTTGGATCCCACCCATCAGTCCCTCCTGAACAAAGGAACCCCCACAGATACAAATCCCCTGAAAGGTGAAATAACCAGTTCAACAACACTCCACAAATCTATCTCCAGCACCTACACTAGCCGGGGCCTCTGGGACCCTGGAGGCAAAGGTTCTGCCTTCCAGGAGAATGGGGAGGAGATCCTAAGAGATGGTTGGCAGTTAAATGCAGTACCACATACTTGCCTAATACAGCTGTGTGGGATACAGAGAAAGCAACTGAGATAGGACAGAGGGATAATTTCATGGAGAAAGTTGTGTGTGTGTGTGTGTGTGTGTGTGTGTGTGTGCATGCGCGCTCACGCGCTGGTAATAGGGCTTGAACTCAAGAGCTAGGCACCCTTGGCTTTCAGTACTCTACCACCTAAACTATAGCTCCACTTCTGGCTTGATGGTGGTTAATTATAGATAAAAGTCTTGCCGGAGCCGGGTGCTGATGGCTCACACCTGTAATCCTAGCTACTCAAGAGGCTGAGATCTGAGAATCATGGTTCAAAGCCACCTCAGGCAGGAAAGTCTGTGAGACTCTTATCTCGAATAAACCCCAGAAAACCAGAAATGGTGCTGTGGCTCAAGTGGTAGAGTGCTAGCCTTGAGCTGAAGAGCTCAGGGACAGCACCCAGGCCCAGAGTTCAAGCCCCACAACCGACAAAAAAAAAAAAAAAAAAGAGAAAGAAAAGAAAAGGAAAGAAAAAAGTCTTGCCAGGTGCTGGTGGCTCATGTCTGTAATCCTAGCTACTTAGGAGGCTGTGACCTAAAGGTCACAGTTCAAAGCCAGCCCAGGCAGAAAAATCCCTGAGACTCTTTTTTTATTTTTTTGCCAATCATGGGGCCTGAACTCTGGGCCTGGGCACTGTCCCCCAGCTCTTCAACTCAAGGCTAGTGCTCTACCACTTGAGCCATAGCGCCACTTCCAGCTTTTTCTGCTTATGTGGTGCTGAGGAATGGAACCCAGGGCCTCATGCATGCAAGGCAAGCACTCTACCACTAAGCCAACTTCCCAGCCCTCTCTGAGACTCTTACCTCCAATAAACTACTCAGAAGAAAGGAGTGACACTGGCTGAAGTGGCAAAGAGCCACTTCTTTGAGCCAAAGAAGCTCAGGACAGTACTCAGAGCCCTGAGACTGGCACACACACACACACACACACACACACACACAGAGTTTCATGGTCTTTCTTGCCTGAGCTAGCTTGGAAGTGAGATTGATCATCAGATCTTAGCCTTCTGAGTAGCTAGATCACAGGCCTGAACCATAGGCCCATGACTGGAAGTGCTATTTTAATTGTAAGAATGAAAACAACTTAGCATGGGGAATGAGGAGAGCGAAGGCAACCACTATCAAGGTTTAAGACTCCTGTCCCTATACCTTGAGAAAGGTCTAGGAAAAATATGTTAGGAGAACCAGAGAGAGATCCCTTAACTAAATTTTCTTGGACCTCTAGATTTTTAGCTTAAAGTAATGTAATTCCCCCTCCCCCCTCCCCTTTTTTTCACCTGAGGACTTTGTGCAGGAGCAGCTGGGTTGTGAAGAACACTTCCCAATGTTGGATCATCTCATAGATCTTCCCACCTGTTCCTCCCAGCAAGCCTACCAGGTAGGAAGATTATTGTTCCTACTTTACAACTGAGATCCTGCAGGACAGAGAGGGAAAGTGACTAACCCAAGACCATAGATGTAAAGGACTGGATCTCAGGTCGACGTTATGCTAAGCCAGGTTCTAAAAACCCTGATTTTCTAGCTGAGACTCAGGATCTAAAGACACAAGTTCTCTAGCTGAGACATGGTTCATTTTCAGTTTGCCCCCTCACTGTCACCCAAGAGGAAATCTCTCAGCATCAAAGAAGGACGGCAGTCAGCAGCTCTCTGTGTGGGCATCCTACTCAACTCCCCAGGAGAGATCTGCCTGCCCCACCCCTCGTTCCAAACTCGGGGGATGGGAGAGGACTGGAGGGTAGGAATTCAGCCAATGAAATGACAATATGCAAATAGACAAGCTCCTGCTCTCTTAGGATTGGGTAATCCATTAGCACTATTGCCCAAATCCCTCCTCTCTGAACACTGAGCTATTCCAGGCGGGTGTTTGGTGCTCTTAAAAAGTCAGAAGGAAAAAAAAAGTCTTCAGGATTTGGATCTCTGAGCTGTCTTGGCCAAGAACACACCATCCCTGTCCCTACCCACCCCACACGGCTCAAAGCTCTAGCCATCTTCACAATGTAGGTATCTGCTCTGGCTAGGGACAAGTCCAGAGTCTGGGTCTGTGAAGATGTCAGATCCCTTAGCCCAACGTGGCTCCCCTTCCCTTCCACCAAGACCCCATTTCCCGTACTCCTGGGCTTCATATTTTTATCCTTGACCCCATGTCTGAGGGTCGAGAGCATGGATCCATTCCCCCATATCCTTTCTCTTTTCTTTCTGTCTCTGTCTCTGACTCTCTCTGTCTCTCTCTTTGTCTCTCTGTCTCTGTCTCTCGGGTGAGGCAGAGAGAGTCATGACTCAGTTTCTCCCTTTACATTCTTTTTCTTGCCACTGCAGCCTATGCCAAAGGAGCCAGAAGAGAAGCTGAGTTGGAAGTCAAAAGGAAGGAGTAGCTATTTGGCCCCCTCCCCTTTACGGCTTCTCACCTTGTTTCTTCCCCGCCACAAATCTTGCCCCTTCCCGCGCCCATCTCCTAATCCTAGGGCTCCTCCTAGCTCTTTCTTCAAATGGCTTTACAGATCTCCTTCCAGCTACCTATTCGCCCATTCCTCGGTGAGCGGGCTCGAGCACATTCGTGAGGGAGGACACCAGAGGAGGAAAGCACAATAGAATGTGTCCAGGCTTTGGGAATGTTTAAATCGGCACGTCAGAAGTGCCCGGGCAGATGCCAGAGAATCCGAGGCATCCTCTCCGAGGTCTGCAGCGCAACTTGCCCAGCCGCTGGGCGCCGGGAGCAAGTGGAGCCCCGAGGCTGCAGGAGCTCGGTGCGGACACACTTGCGGCGGGCGTTCCGGGGTCTCCACCCTCCTGCGGTCGGGGCCGTGCAGGGGACAGCCGGGCTCAGCACTCACCACCACAGTCCACCGACGTGCGCCGGACACAGGAGCAGCAGCAGCAGCAGCCCGAGGCGGGAGGGCACCGGCGGCAGCATGGTGCCCGCTCTACCCCGGGCCGGCGCGGACAGGGGGCGAGGCCGTGGGGCGAGAGGGGCGCGCGGTGGCCCGGGTTTCAGGGCGAGCGCGGCGCTCGCGTCGGCGGCCTGGAGGCGAAGGCTCCGGCGGCGGCGGCGGGGGGGCCCATCCCGGGCGAGGAGGGCGCGGCGGAGGCGGAGAGCGGACGGGGCAGCCAGCGCCTGTGTCTCCTGCCGAGCTCGCTCGGGAGAAGAAATCAGAGCCGGGGGCGGGGGTGGGAGGGGAACGGGGCAGGGGCGTGGGCGGGGAAGGGGGGGACAGGGGAGCCGTGGGAGTGGCAGTTGCGACAGTCAGGCGGCGGAACTCCCGGGGGAGAGCGGTGCGCCCCGGGGCGGCGGGCGCAGCGCTCGGCGGGGCTGCAGCCCGGTGCTGGGGCGGGGCCCGCGCGCACGCGCGCGCTCCGAGTTCCGCGACCCTCCCGCCGCGCCCCTCGCCTCGCACCCCCCTCCCGGGGTGTCCCCCTCCCAGCCGCCCCGAGATGTCAGGAGTTCCGGGGGGTACCGGGGGGGGGGGCGAGGGAAGAGGAGTGGAGAGGGGTGAGGCGGGAGGGAGGAAGATGAGCTGAGAGGAACAGGGGGGCTGCTGGCTGCTAGGGAGACGTTTGACAGGTTTGTTGACTGTAAAGAGAGAAAACTTCCCAGGAATGAGGGAGTTCTTTTGGGGGGGAGGGAACAGTGCGGAAAGGACGCGGGCGGGGGCGCGGGAAGGAAGTCGGCTGTGGGGTGCGGGGTGCCGAACTTCTACAGCCTTCCCTGGCGGGCGGACCTGGGAGGGTCTTCTTTTAGCGGGGTGCCGCCTCCGCACCCCACGCCCTTTTTGCAGCCTCCCCCGCAGGGAAGCCCAAAGCTCCCACTCGGGTTCCCCAGCCATCCTGCCCCCTCTAGCCCGCGTTGTTTTTTTTTTTGGGGGGGGGGAGTAGACAGCCGGAGGACCCACTCCCGGGCTGACACTTGCACGTGTATGCGGGCGGAGGGTGCAGACTTCCAAGATTGCAGGCTTTGGAAGCTGGGCCCGGGTCCTTCCTTGCTTCCAGTTCCTCCCCCAACTTGGCCTGGCCAGAAAGGGTAGGAGAGCCAGCTGCAGGTGAGATGGCGTTTATCTGATTCTCTAATGCCACAAAAATGTCTTTGATGCCCCTGGCCCCCTCCCCACGAGGGGGAGATCAAAGGCCCCGTGGAGAGGAGGGACAGCTCCATTCATCACGCCAAGTGGCTGGCAGCGGGGCAGCAGCCCCTGCTTCTGGCCCAGGGCAGAACCCTTTCCTTCCCCGCCCCCCCCATGTGCCCCAGGAGTGCCTAGGGACAGCTGGTGAGGACATTTGCAAGCAGGGGCCAGTTTCCTGGTCACTACTGTCTCCAGTGTCCATCCACCTTGAAGGCTGTTCTTACAGGGAGGGCGGATGGGGGACCTCAAGCTCACAGGGCAGAAGTTTCAGGCACCCAGGAGGAAAGAAAGCTTTTGGTCATTTGGAATAAGGATTGAAACCACTGCCAAGGCTAGATCCCCAGTCATCCAGAAAAGGTGTGAAGATGCTGATGTGAATGGAAGGTGACACAAGACCACAGGACAGAAAGCAAATCTCGGCAGGGAAGATTACACGAGTCAAGAAGAAGTGAAACAGCCTTGGCCTGGACACGTGAAGAAGGGCCCCGCATTTTCTGAGAGCCCCATCACAGAACCCTGGTGTCCAAGGTGTGACACTGCAATCTCTTGTACAGTGGCCTGAGATTGAGGGGAAAGAGGGGAGGGGGGCAGTGGCTCAGGTGGATATGGTCCAAGCCTTGCCCCTCCCATCTTAGCATCCAAATGCATGCACAGCCCTGGTACCTAGAAATTTTGTATAGAATTGTTTCTTCAGGGCCATTCTAACCCTGGACACTGCACACTCGAAGACATATCTTAGATGAGTAGTTCGCTCACACCTGTAATCCGAGCAACTCAGGAGGCTGAGCACTGAGGATCATGGTTCAAGGCCAGCCCTGGTAGCCAAATTGGAGAGATTCTTATCTCCCAGTAACTAGCAAAATGCTGGAAGTAGAGGTGTGGTTCAAGTGGTCGAGCAACAACCCTGAGTGGAAAAAAGTTCAGGGACAGTGCCCAGGCCATGTTCAAGCCCCAGTACTGGTGTGTGTGTGTGTGTGTGGGCACGCGCGCCCACACACACACACACATACACACACACACCTAGATTGGGCTCACACTCTCACACTCAGGCCAGATAGTGCCAAAACAAGCAGCTAGAGGGCTAGAGGTTCCTGGAGGCTGCAGGTGACCACTGACCAGCCTCCTGGGAGTTATTGCTTGGGTTCCAAACCCTCTGCCCACCCCTGCCCCCACCCTGCTACTGTTATTACAGATTATGAAATGCTCCCCCTATCCTGCATTCTTCTCTGCGGCAAGAATTTTAATGTATTTGTCTTTGTCATCAGGGGACCTGGGCTCTGGGATCGCCCTGTCTTTCTGCCTGAGGAGGGAGCGCCCCAAATCTAGTCCTTGCTGACTCCAAACTCCTGCCTCTCTGTGTGACCACCCCTCCCCCTATGGTCTAGCCCTGCCCCTTGCCTCCCCCTCCTAAGACACAGTCTCTCTGTGGGGTGGATAAAAATGATGTTATTGAAACAACAGAATTGGGAGCAGTGGCAGGGAGCAGGGATCAGCTCAGGAAACTGGGGCGTTTGCCAAGAAGCCTGCTCCCCCGCAGGCGGCCTTTCTCCCCCCCCCCACCTTTCCTACAAACAGACACAGTTCGCCCCACCCCTCCTGCAGTGCGGCTCCAGCCAGATCTTGCAGAATCTTAGCCACCCTTGAACTTCCCAAGCCCTCATCTACCCCAACAGAGTCCTATTCCAGAGTCAGGTGGCCTAGTGGTGCATGCCCAGGAGACATGGGTGGGGCTGGGGTCTGTAATGCCCAGGCATTCAGAAACCTCCACTCTCAGAACTTGAATTCCAAAGAGAACTTTGCTCTGCCCACTTCCCTTTGCCCTCTCTGTATGCCCCCCCCCCATCTAGGGGTTGGCTGGCATCTGGGCAGTACCAGAACAATGACTTATGTCTTTATTCCTTCCCCCACACTTTATGAGTTCAAAGGTTCCTGGAGGCTTTATCACCTCCCATTCCCCTCACCAAGGAGCAGGGCTGGGAACTGGGCAATGCCAAGAGAGACATACAAAGACAGCCCAAGAACACAGATATATGCACTGATCACTGGGCACCAGCAGCCAGGCAACTTCAAAGAAACCACAGCCTCTCCTCCACATAGACAATATACTTGAGTAACTTTAGGCAGTTTTCACCCACAAGTATGGAAGGGTAGAGATGGGCTGGCTCAGGCTGACACTCATGCCAGCCATCCAGTGATGCAGTGCCTGTGTGTACATGTGCGCGTGCGCACACACACACATACCATTGCTGCACAGATGTGCATGCAGAGAAACATTCATGAGACCAGAATGTAAAGACAGCACCCAGAAATGGGCATCCTGAATGGAGAGGTGCCAGCCTGTGCCCCTCTTTAGTGTCTGGGTACTGGGCTCCTTCGTGCTGAGAACCTGTAAACTCCATTCCTAGGACGCGGTACAAAAGAGAGACCAGGAAAGAGAGGCTTGGGTGTCTGGCTGAGGAGCTGAAGAAGAAGGAGGGGCAGAGGTGGGGACTGTGGAGGGGGAGAGAGGCAGCTGGAGACAGATAACATCAGAATCGCTGCAGGCAAAAGCAGAGCCCTCTGTCTCCGTTGGATCCTCTCTTGCTGCCTTTCTGTGTGTCTTTTCATGTCTCTCCCATGTCCAGAATTCAGTCTCTATTCGTGTCTGCCTCCTGGTCTCTCTCTCTCTCTCTCTCTCTCTCTCTCTCTCTCTCTCTCTCTCTCTCTCTCTCTCTCTCTCTCTCTCTCTCCCCCTTTCTCCCCGCCTTTCATTTCTCAGAATGGCTACAGGAGCCCAGGAATCTGAGGCCTGTGACTCTTCCCTTCCCAGTAACCTTCTTTCCTCTCTCCTGCCTGCCTTCCGCTTCCAGCAATGACTTCTCATTCTCTTTTCAGGGAAGTGATAAGGCTTGAGAATTCCTAAGAGCGCTGGGTCCCGAGAGGACGGAGAGAGGAAAGGCCAACTTCCTAACATGATGGAGAGAAGGAAAAAGAAGAAAAAGACTTATTTCCTCTCTCTTCCGTATCCTAGAGGGCTCTACTCCAGCACCCCCTGCCCCCACCAAGTCTTGAGCCGAAGTCCCCCCACCCTTAGCCAGAGTCTTAACCTGCTTTGCAGACCATGTTTCCTGAGACTCCCTTTGGGCCTTCCACAGAGCCCATCTGACTTACATCTTCCACATCCCTCTATTATTAATGCCCCAACTCTTCGATTGCCCCTCAAGAGCTCCAAGGAGGAGGAATCTTGTAAGAAGAGGCAGAATGTGGGGAGCAGGGGTTGAGGCAGGAGGTCTGCTGTTCACCAGGACCTGGCTGGGAAAAAGCCAGGGAACACTGGCTCCCACTTAGCTCAGCCTCAGTGGACAGAGTGGGAGTGGTCAGCCCCAAGGGCCTCTGCAGCCATCCCAGACCAGGCCAACTTCTGCAAGGATCTTTGTTTTTTTGTTGTTGTTGTTTTGTGGTGCTCTGCTCTGCTGGGGGTCAAATCCAGAGCCTCACCCAAGCTAGGCAAGTACTCTGCCCCCCCAGCTGCATCCCCAGCCCAGTCCCTGTGGTTTTTGACCACAGGTTAGGCAGCAGGGCCCTGGCATGCCCTAAATGCTGGGGTGGAGCCTCTGCTCTTCCCACTGCTCCCTGGGGCTCCAGCTCTCACCTCAGAGAAATCAGAACTCCTGAGTCCAAGTCTCCAGAGCTAGCCTCTGTCCAGGCTGCCTTGCTAGCTGGGGGCTCTCTCTCACTGGCAGAAGTAAGCAAGTTTGTAACCAAACACCTACTATGTGCTGGGCACTCAGCAAGACAATGGTGAGCAGTGACAGAT